TTTTTTTTTTTCCTTTAGTGGTGCCTGCCTGCATGGCTTACTGCCAGGCTGCCTGCACAGCCCGAGCTGCACAGGGCCCAGTGCTTCCCTCTTCAGCTGTAAGATAGCAAACTAAAACACCTCAGACATGTTTTATTTTGTGGTGTCCCAACGTCATTTAACACACATTACACCACCGACGTGTAAAAAGCTGAACCATTAAAGTGGTGCAAAAGGGCATTAAGTCACTTTAAAGGCCAATTTTGTGATGTATATAAATGGCCAATATGCCTTATCTCTAGGGGGTGAGCCAGTTTAACTGGATTTAGGGACCTAGTATTTTTATAGAGTCAAAGGGAAACTTAGGCTGCCCCAAAGAGCAATGACATTTAAGTATGTAAATGGTTAATTCAGGGAATGGAGAAAGACAGACAACTGCAATGGAAAATTGAGAAGGTCAGGAAGTGCTTAGAGAAATAACAGCACTGAGCATATGAGGTATGTCTGAGCTTGGGTACCTTTCCATTTGCAGTCCTGTTTCTGAGGTATTGAACCAATGGTGGTGCTTAGCATCTGCCCAAAAGGCTAGTGGTTATAGCTATTCTCATAAATCTAAGACTAGTGTCCTAGGCTTTCCTTAGCCCAAGAGGATTCAAGCATGCACAGCACGCTTCCTAGTATCTACTGTAAAATGCATAAAGGATCCAAGAATGGAATCTACCTTCCCAAGAGGTCAACACCCACTAAGCAACAGAAACCTATTCCCTTTTGTTTGTTCTACTTCCCCATGACACACATTCTTGGTTGCTAATGTGCCCAGCTTCAACAAGAGGGATGGAAAGTGTCCTTCCCTAACATACTGTTTAGTAGCCAGTAAAAGCAACCTCCTGGGAACTAGAAGAAGTGGCATTCTATTTTTTAGAGTGAGCCTGGTCTCTGTCTAGAAGCCTGGTCTCTGTCTTCTTGGATGAGTGCTATAGCTACTAGGATATTGATCAAAAAGCAAGCTTAACCTTCAGATACCTTCCTGCTGTAACTTTTTCCCTCTGATCATGTCCAAAAGACTTGGGTAGATGCCTAGGGAACTTTGCAGTATGAAGTTGGGGTGCTTAATAATTTTAGGCACCAAATGCATTCTGTATCTGCCTGTGCAGGGCAAATTTGAATTAGTCTTTTGGACTTAGGTTACTAAACTCCACCCAAATTCCAATTATCTGCTTACAGAATAAATTCAAACTTTGAAAGAGTCCTTCAAGGATCTCTCAAGCACCAAGTATACTGCAACAGAGCTTAGGCAGGAGTTAGGTAATAAAACTGGATTGGTTCTGGGAACACACAAAAGCCAAGAGAAGGCCCTTGAACCTAGACACAGAGGACATGTCCAGACAAGCACACTCAAGCATTTCTCTGGGGACAAATAGTAGAGGCACATAGTTGTACTGCTGCTGCATGTCCTCAGGGAACTGTCCTATACACGTGCTCTGGCACGCAGCAAATTTCCCAAGGTGGGCTAAGGAAGGCTGGGGTCAGAACCTGGGCTGGTCAGAACAGCCTTACCTGGGGTCTTGGGAGACTTCTGGGGCTGAAGCCATAGGTGGCAGAAGGCTGGAACTAATGGGCCTTAGCCCCCACAAACAAAGGGCAGTGGTGGCAGCACAGAGAGCCACAGGGCAGCTCAGGCACAGGCTCTGGCAGCTGCAGCAGGGGATGTGAACAGACACAGGCATGCAACCACAGCCTGCAAGCAGCCAGGATCGCAACCCAGTGGCATGTGAAACACTGCCCACCACAGCAGGCACGTCTGTGAAGGGGAAGGGGTATGTGGGGGCAGGGAGATTGAGGCCCCCAGGGAAGAAGTGTGGCAGAAGCAGGGGCAGGGGCTGGAATGAATGGGGCCCCAGGGTGGGTTGTATGATGATTAGTTCCTGGGCAGCTCATCCAGAGATGTGGGGGGCTCCTGCTGCTGCGCACACCCTGGTGGAGGCACAGAGGGCACATGCCCCCTGGATTTGTGCATGGGGTGGAGACATGCTGCTGCTGTGGGATGGGACTCTGCGCCCTGCTGCCACTGCCTAGGAAGCCATGCAACACCATGTGCCTGCCACCACCAAGCTGTGCCATGTCCCCTGCCTGCCCAGCGACAGTAGACACTTGGCAGAAGCATCATGTGGCTCCCAAGGCAGTAGCAGCGGGGCACAGAGCCTCAGCCCATCTCCACCCTGTGTACAAATCTGGGGAGCATGTGCCCCTTTTGCCTTCCCTGGGGTGCATGCAGCGGCAGGATTCCCCCTGCACCTATGGACAACCGCCTTGGCTCCAACTATTCCATGACCTACCCTGGGGCCCCGTTCACCCAGCTCCTGCCTCTGTCTCTGCCCCACTCTGTCCCTCACTGTGGGGGCCTTGATCTGTCCCCCACACCTCTTCCCTCTCCCCACAACCTTCCCCTCCACAGAATTACCTGCTGGGTGGTGTGTGTGTGTGCGTGTGTGTGTGTGTGTACTCAGCCTCCCCCCCCCCCCCAACCTTCCCCTCCCCAGAATTTCCGGCTGGGTGGGGTGTGGGTGTGCGTGTGTTTGTGTGTGTACTCAGCCTCCCCCCCCCCCCCAACCTTCCCCTCCCCAGAATTTCCGGCTGGGTGGGGTGTGGGTGTGCGTGTGTTTGTGTGTGTACTCAGCCTCCCCCCCCCCCCCAACCTTCCCCCCCCCAGAATTACCTGCTGGGTGGTGTGTGTGTGTGCGTGTGTGTGTGTGTGTACTCAGCCTCCCCCCCCCCCACAAATAATATTTTCTCCTTCTGCTTATGGCTGCAGCAGCAGTAATCCAGGCATGTGGAGCCTGACCAGCAGCCAGAACATGGCTCTGGCCAGCCAGGCTCCAGTTTCAGGCAGCACACACTGCAACCATATGCAAAGCCTCAATTTTTTTCTCCATTTTTTTTAGTTATTGGGATTTTCCTGTATCTAATTTTATGGGCATGCTGCAAATATGCAGCACCATGAACAAATCAATGTGCACCGCATTGCAAATATACAGTGCAGCAAACAGATCCATGTGTGTCTCATATGTTTTATGGAGCCTCAAAAGGTTTTGAGGTACCACAAACTACACATTCCCACTCGTGTGAACATGGCCAGAGGCTGCTTACAGATGTGGGGGGGAAAAAACAGCGCTTTACTTTCAGCTCGGTGCACCCCCGCACCGTCTGTATAAATCATGTGCTTATTGCCACTTTCATCTAATAGGATCTCTATGCTATCCTACTGTGTCTCAGTCCTATTATTGACAGTCTACCTCTACCACCAGCAGGATAATTTAGTCTCATTGGGCGCATATACATGTGCAGTGAGGCTGCTCTGATGCTCTGTAGTTATAGACTTGATTAATTAAGTCTGCTGGAGTTGTAGTAATTACCATGCTCCAGTAGACTCCAGCATCATATATATCAGTGTCCCTGCACTGAAAAATGGTGGCAGGGGTGCTTTAATTAAAGCTCATTGGACAAGCTTTAGTTAGAGCACCCCTGCCACCATTTTTCAGTGCAGGGATACTGATACATGTGATGCTCTGGACACTTAAATTAGAGCAGCTCTGCCCTCCCCACTCCCCTCCCGCTCCCCGAGCATGTGTATAAATGACTTTTGTCTTTTTTCTTATAAGACTGCCAAAATGCACTTTGAAAAAGCTAACTTCAGTATTGCAAGTCTAGCCATGTTAATGTGGCACTTCACCTGGGCTAACTTACCTTGCTTTTCAGCAGAGTTAATTAGCTGGATAAAGCACTGTGTTAATTCCACTATGCTTTTTCTAGTACCCAAACCAATTTTAAACAAGCTATAGGCACTGCATTGTGTAGACTTATCCTTAATTGTACCATGTTAAAAACCTCAACAATCATCAATTGTATTTGCATAATGGTATATGAGCAGGGTTTGCTGCAAACGATCAGATAAGAACAAACTCAATCACCCATTTTAAACTTCTGCTCCTGAAAGGGTGTTTGCATATATTTTGAAATTGAGAGTATGTTCCAGTTTGTCAATAAACTTCTAGTAATCTGCCATGTTGCTCAATAGACTATGGGGACACATGAAAGCAGTACAAGGAGACACAAATCTAAGACTGATTGACAGCTCTAGTTTGCTATTCTGACAAATAATTTACATGTCAGTCAATACGATGCTATGCATTGACATGAACAATGTGTTTTTTTATTGGCCAATATGCCAAGTATTTATCAGAATAATGAGCTAGAGCCAATGTCCATCACTGACTTTCTTCCAGATAGTGATTTTTTATCAAACTTCAGAAGTATCAATGCATAATAACTACTTCCATCATTATTAGTGTACTAAATATACAAGGAGAGTATAGAGTTATAAATGGCATAACAGCTGAAGTTTTACCAGCAGTACATGGATCATTGGTAATAGTGTTGATGACACTTTCACTGGTAATGTTATTTTGGACTTCGTCAGGAAAACAACACTGAAGAAAATAGTAATTGGTGCAGGCATCCAAAGAGTGTATCCATGAGTGCAGGAGCAAAGGAGGTAAACAAGTTGTCAGGGATACCCAGACAGTTCACAAGACATTTATTTAGATACAGTTTTTAGAACTGTGTCTTCCTTAATATGAAGCTTTACACTCTGAAAAATCTAAGGGAAATAGTGTGTGCTGGGTTGACATTAATAAACATGTTATGTGCTGAATCATATTTAACAATTAATGATACTAAGGGACAAGTACTCCATCTCATCACAAAGTGTAGATAGGAGTTCTGTATGGGCAAAACAAAAGCCACAGAACACCAGCAACCTACTTAATTGCATCTGCCTTCATCTGCAGTAGCTTCTAAGAATTTGAATTTCTTGCTGTCCTCAGCTGAGCCACAAGCCCCTCTCCTGCTATAAATGTTCTTGAAGCCACTGTGCAGCACAGTCTTACCACTGGAAAGGATCTCAGTCTACTTTCCTTGGTCAGTAGAACCACAACTTTTTCAGTACCTTTCTGATTATATGCGTCTTGGAGAAAGGATGAGGAAGAAGAGTTGGGATTAAGTCCATGTATTTAATGTCCAGCATACCAGCATCCTCAAAATACTGCATCCATAGACACCTACACAAGCTCAAACTTTTGTATGAGCAATTTTCAGATGTTCACGTGTTATATTTGCTAGTTCAGTGCTTTGGTATGTGACAGTATGCATACGTTGTCATTGGGGGGTTTTTCCAGAAGCACCTGCTAGGCTTTGAAAATATAGCTCTACATATTCTATTTTTTCTCTGAATCTAATTGTTTCAATGGAAAGCTAAGAATGAATAAGCAGCATACACCACAGAAAAATTCTGCTTCTAGTAACAGGTAAAATAGCAAGTTCACTTAACTTTCCTGTCAATTCATTTCTTTATAGTTTTATTCCAAATATACTTTGTTATGATGATTTATCTAGTGTTCCAAGATACTAATACATAGCTAGATTTACAGAATATATTTAGACGGTCATCATTTGGAGTAGGGTCCTATCCAAGTCCCTTTAAATGAACAGAAAGACTCCTCCTGCTTTCAGTGTGAGCTAGATCAGGCCTTTAGCACTTTATTTTTTTAAAGCAACATTAAGCGTGGCTGTTCATTGACATTGTTTCCCAGACACCAGCAATTGTTCGCTGACCCAGATATGAACTTGTATTTTTTTTCTGTCTCTGTTTATAGAGTCTCTTTCTCTGTCATGCTTATCTACCCTAGTCACAAAGACCTGTTTAACTTGCTGTGAAGTTGTGATGGACCAAATTAGAAAGCTTGCACAAAACTGTTTATAGCTGGGTCTGTCAGTGCTAGTAAAAAAAAAAAAATAGGCAGAGAAATAATATTTACATAGACCAGAGCCCTCTATTTTACTGTTGCTCCCTCCTTGCCAATATTCAGCTGCAGGAAAGGAGATTATTACTCAAAGAAAGGAGAGGAAAATGCACTAGAAGAAGCTGACCTAAATTGCCTCTCTCGTCAACTTAATACTTCCATTGGACAAGAAAAGGTGGTAAGTTAAGTTTCATGTACTCATGGGTTTCTTTCTGAATTCTTGCCCATTTTTTGAGGAATGTTCATGCTTTTCCACTTCTCCAAGCCCTTTCCCCCAGCAAAGAAATCACAGGTTCTTTGTCAGGCTGACAAAGGCTGTGAAAGCCATAAAGGAAGTAGAGTTTACCCCAAAAGGATAATTTCTGCTGAAAAATCTAAATTTTACTCAGATATAAAAATCATGATAACTAATACATCTTGTAACACAATGAGTTCTGCTATATCTGGATTCCGTATAAACCTGTTCTTTATATATAGCCCACCCATGTCAGTCTGAATCTGCTTGTTACTAAAAATATTCATTTTAATTGCTTTTACTACAGAGAAAAATCCTAAATAAAAGTTACATGTCTTGTGACACATTCATTCTTTGATGTTATAAAATAGAGCCAGCTCTAGTCTCAGTTTGTAGCAGAGTTACTTTGTACATGCACTGGTATGTCCTATCAATTAAACACTGCATGCATGTCCAGAAAGTGTCTTGGGTTTGTACATTTTTGGGTTTTTTTAATGGAGGTCATGCATGTTCACTTTTTCTTTTATTTTCAGTATTTCAGAACCTCTAGGAATAAATATGCTAAGTCAGAGATATAAAGCTCATTTGGTCCCACAGGCCAGACAACCCATCTCTGGTGTGTAACTGGGTGGCCTCATCATCAGGTGTCCACCAGTCGCCCTGTTCCTAGGGTAACTGCCTGTTCGTTTTCCTGCCACACCTTGATGGAAAAATATAAGAGTTGTTACTAACGTGGGAGGCTACCCATTATTTGCCCTGCTAACAAGGGCCTAATACCTGCTCCGACCTCCTCTCCACAGGTCCCATGCCTCACAGATGTTACTCTGGTGTTACTTCTCCAGCCTATGGCTGAAGCACACTGGGCACACAGTTGTAACTCTTCACAGCAGCCCTGGAGGGCCACTCACATGCCACCCCTCTCTTACCGGGATCCCATTTACTCCACTGGCTCTCACCCAGCCTCTTTCATACTGCCCTCCCTCAGGGCCACACTCATCCCACCTGGTCTCTCCTGGTTTCGAGCTTAGCTCTCCTCACCTTGGTCAGCCCTGGTGCAGTCTGTTAGGTGTCTCCTGCTACCCTCACCTCAGCACTGACTGAGCGATTCTACAACTATAGGCCTATTTTGCTCCTGGCCCCTTGCCAAGCCACTATGCCTCCACTGGGCCTCCTCACTTGCCCACATTCACAGGGCTGCTCTAATCGTCACTCTTCTCTCTCATTACTCATCACCAGGCTTTACCCTACCACCTGACCATGACCTCAGTTCCCTCCTTTGGCCTGGGGTCTGCCTCAGGGCTCCTTAATGAGCCCTGGGCTCTCCCTGCTCATTAGAACACCACCAGGGATCTTGGACTGGGATTATAAGGCACCCCAACCCACCTTTCACCAGGGAGGTAACTGGCCTGGCATTTCCTGGGGGCTCCCATGACACTAGGAGCCCCACCAGATCACCCTTCCCTGGCAGGCTGCAGTTTTATGTCTTACCCAGGACAAAGGGGTCACCTCCACCCCATGGCCCCTGCCCATACCTCCTGATATTCCCAGACCAGCCTCTCAGCCTGATGATATCTCCTTCCTTCCTGCTGCAAACTGCAGCCCATCTTATATCACTAGGCCAAAACAGCTATCCTAATCAGGCTGCTGCCTGTTTTCTGCCCTTAAAATGGCAGGCAGTGACTTGTCACCTTGGCTTCCAGAGTCACTGTATTGGCAGGGCTCTGGAATCCAGGAGGTAAATGCTGCTGCTTCTGTCAATCTGAGTACCCAGCAGTGACCCAACACACCAAATTCAGCAGTGGAAATAGAGGTGCAGGGGTGGTGTTTCATCCTTTTAGTTCTGGAGCCATGGCAACAAAGCAGCTCCAGTAGCTACACCAGCCCCACAGGCCACAGTTTCACCATCTGGGAGTGGTCAGCTGGATAACCAAATCTCTCAGGAAACATTATGCTAATTAGAAGACCAGGAAAAAGAAACCCTTCCCACTTCTTTTGTATGTGTTGCAAGTGTTCCTATATGAACCATGATGGGGGGGGAGGGGAGGGGAGGAAGAGAGAGAGAGAGAAGGATACTAGCATGAAAAAGTAACAGTTCAATGGAAAACAATCTTCAGTCTAAAACTCATTCAGAGTATAAACTTCATCATCAGTGAAACTAATATATCAGAGCAAATAGGAAACAAGCATCCATTTTCTGCTGGGAAAGGAAAGGTAAAAAAAATGGGGACCCATTTGGCTTTCCAAAAAAAAAAAAAATTCACTATAAAGAAAATAATCAAGTCTGCACCCAAATTATTGGTACTACTTCTTTGAAAAAAAAAAGGAGACTGCATATTGGAATAGTATGTAGTGGGCCTGCTATACATAGCATAACACTACAAAGGAACGGAGAGTCTTGGCATGGTCACTTAAATGTGTCCCATCTGATGTCTGCTTCTGTTTTAAGTTTAAAAAGAGCAAGAGAGACCAAAAGAAAAAAAATAAGTCATTGTCTTGTATTCTGCAGACAGACAAAGCTCTCCAGGAACTATAATACCTGCAGAATTAGACCTGCATTGGCTTGGGAATTTCACTGGCCTATGAGTTACACACATTTCATTGTCTGTAGAGTTGCATAAAAAAATTAAATAGGAAGATTTAAAAAAACCCAAGGAAAACATTTAAAGGGCAAATGATAACTGAGGCCATTGATTTGCTGATAACAACGAGTAAAGGGCTGACTCATCTGGCCTCCTTTTGTGGCAAATTAATCATACTCATTGGTCCCCTATTTTTTTCCCCTTTTACTGTCCTTAAACAGATTTACTGTCTGGAAACTAATATCAAATTCACATTTCTACCCAGAAAAAAGCAGGGACTTTGATGCTTTATTGTCTTATCCCATTACACCTCCCATAAAGCAAAAGCCGACAGATTCACATAGCAATCATTTCAGCCTGAATAAGCAAGTTTTCTCTTCTTTTACTGGATAGGTTGTTTAACAAGTTGTAGTGGTGAATCTGTTGTCTAATATTTACCATGATGTGTAGGACTTTGAAATAAGGTATTTATTTAAAAGTTAAAATGATATTTGGTTAAAATAGCATTTTCCCCTGTGATGAAAATGAGATATTAATATGATTATAACATATAAAACATCCTCATTTTCTCATCCTCATCACAGCAGTGTCAAACTCACCTTGGGCCTAGCAGCTGTGGTGGCAATAGGTCCAGCAGCAATTACAAGGGTTCCAAGACAACGAGTCCAGGGGTAGTGGCTCCAACTTCCATTGCCCATCAGTAGCTCAATTGGGCTGGATACAGTGGCTCCATGGGGCCATATGTTTGACATCCCTGGTGTTTCATAACCTTCAATGTGTAATGCCACAATTTATGCAGTTGTTACATGAAATGCAGTCTAAAATGACAAAGACTGAATCAGAGGGAGTTCCTCACAACACATGCACATCAGTGAACAAAATATAACTTTTCAACAGCAGCTTTGTTGAAGTGAAGTAATTACGTGTATGAAAGCATTTGGTCTTTAAAGAATAAGTAAACATATGTTATTTTTAGACTGGCATGATGATAAATGCACTAAACATGGAACGTGGCCTCTCAGAAATTGTTCCTGCTCAGACATGCGAAAAGTGTTGCACAGTGTTACATAACTGGACAGAGACTCCTATTCTACTCTGTGGAGAAAGTTGATTATAATCCTTTGTAAGTGCCAGACCAGTTTGATTGGACTCAGCAAACATTGCGCAAACCAGCTCTGGTAGTTAGAAACCATCCCCATTTATAGTATTTCTCATGAAATGACTGTGCTGTGTGAAATACTGAAATAATGTTTTAAATGGTTGTTTCTTAACAGTTGAGACTGGATAGAGACCACCAGATTGTTTCTTTTATTCATGAATGGTTTGAAAGAGACTTTCAATAAAGATGCTTTGCAGCTCCAAACAATAGCTTTCCAAATTTAAATGATCAAACACATGCATTAGAGTTCACAAAAACATCTGCAAATCATTACAAATAGATACTTTCAGGTTATAGCCTGAACAAAGGTAGAGGGAGAATAATGACAGTAAAAAATACACATGAAAGACTTGGCAAAATATCTTGCTCCTCTACAAATGGGACCCAGTTAGGGGAGTTTCAGTTTGCCTTTGGCTACTATTTCGAGACCTGAAAGATGCAAACTCAGGAAGACAAACTAACATTGTATTAATGATCTCAGATCACAACATTTTTAGTAGTCAAGTTAGTCTGGCTGGCATGCAGATTTGTTTTCTAAACAAAAAGTGGTGCTTTCTTTCTAAACAATTCATTGTGAGCTATTTGTCATTGCAAACTGCTTCTGGCAGTTGACCAATTCTTTTCAGAGATTCTTTCTTTAAACCAAATGCCCATTAAAACCTTTCCACTCAACAATGGCATTGATTCATTCTTAATAAAAAAATTGCTCTAATTACTGTATTTGTTAGAGGAAAAGGTAAAAAGTTCTGTATCCCAAACAAAACTGTTAACACAACAATATAACTTTTTTTTCTTTTTCACCCCTTGTATCTTGTAGTAAATATGCAGTAAAATTGCAGTAAGTTTTATTCCTATAATTAGGGAACTACAGACCTTATAAGCTAGAAGTAATGTTGTCTGAGTAGGGGCTACTGGATTGGGACCCATCCCAGTTTTAAATTATGTTTCTCTTCTCACCATGGGAAGAAAGCACAACAAAAGTACATTGAGGAAATATTACTGAATAAAATATACCCCAGTTGTAGAGAGAGAAATTCTGGACATTTGAGATAAAAGATCACTTATTTTTTAGAACAAGTTTTAAAGCATATAGTTACATTGTTTCTCATTCTATTTTCTCCTTCTCTGTTAATATAGTCTTTGCTTTTTTGCTATTCAATATTATTATTACACAGGTAATGTGATGTATTCATCAAATACATTGA